AACTACCTTTTGGATGGGTAATGTATTTAGGACAACACAAAGCAACTCCTTCAGACATAGAGTTTAGGTACAAAATATCCTGTACGGAAGAGTGGTAGATGCCTCCAGAGAGCCTCTCCAGACTGAATGAGATGCACAGATGGGCAAATACTCCAGTGAGTAAAAACGTGAAAGGTAACAAATACATTCAATAATCTTATTTAAATTACTGCCTGATGTTGAGCCACAGATAAAACTTCATTCTTGAAAGGCTCTGCCTTTTCTCCAAAAGAAAGGGTTTCTCACAGTTCTCAGCACTGCTGTTTGGCCTGTCAATTCACTACACTACAGCATCAAAAACTGCAATAGCACAAGTACGTACGAATAGTCCTTCAACAGTTCGCTGGTTTGTGAAAAATAAATAAGGAAAATTGTCCTGAGTACCTCATTCAGAACTTGTTCTGAGCTACGTTTAAATTAGCACAAGCACAATTGCTAGATACTGGTTAAATACCTGTTAAGTTGGAAATGAAGCAACAAAAGGCAAATTAAAAAATAAAAAACTATGTCTATTCCATTACTAATCACACAACTTTCTGATTTGTTTTCTGTTAGTAACTCTTACAGAACATGTAAATGAGATATGCTACATCAATGGGCCTTGAGACATAACTGAAGAGAAATGTGATCAATAAAAATGGTAAATGAGATGAGACACATGGAAGTAAAACTTCTATTAGTATGTGCAAGGGTGTATTTAAAAATTAACGGTAAGGAAATGTATTAGTACAAATCTGCACCTACAAGTAAGCACACTCTAGAAAAACAGGATTTTTCTGATTGCAGGTGTGATACTTTGGAAATAAAATGACTGAAATGTTTTCATTGTAGAAAATTTTATAACCTACACCATTACTAGCAAGAGTGTATTTAGAAAAATGTGTCAGTCCCTGAGCCAGCAGGTAAGAACCTAGAAGATATTTATATCTCTCTATATATATTTAAAAATAAAATTTAAAAAATTAGTGATGCTTTTAGCCATAAACTCATAAGAGTAACAACTGCGGCAATCAATCTTGGGAACAGAAGAGGGAAAAAGTAAGTCATAGAGGGATAAACTTCTTTCAGTTTGTGACTTGAATTGCTGACAGGTGCTCAGTACCAGTTTAGCAGGTAAAGTTCACCCAGTATCCTCCAGTTTTCCAGTTGGGCCTAGAAAAGGTAGCACTTCTAACAGGGTTTCCAGAAATATATACAATGCACAGAATACAGAGCACAGCAGTTCATATTAAGAAACTATTAGCAATAAGGTTATTTGTGTGTCTGCGCACAAAAGAGAAGGAAATTTTAAGCATGGTCCAGAGATGAAGAAATAAGAGCAAAACTGGACGAAAGATCGCCTACTGCTGCTGTTTGTCTCATCTTCACTTTAGCTAGAATGGAAAAAAGAGAAAAAAAAAGAAAACAAGGCACTGCTGTCTTTGCACACTGCAAAAGACAACCACTGCTGTGCTACGGAGTACAGTTTGGTGCCAAGAGAGTGAAATAAAGGACAACGTGACCGTGTCAGAACTGAAGGCCTGCCGCTTCTTCCTATGCTGGAATTGACATACTGCCACAAAAACAAAAGGCGTAGAGAATGGGAAGTCCTGTGAAGTGCCACCTTGTTTGATGTGCTTATGCCACTCCTCTGAGAAAAAAAATAAGTTTCTACAGAAATTGAAATGCTTGAAATGCTAATATTCCAGAAAAACAATGTCCTTGGGTCAAAATCAACCTTTCCGTAGATGATGAACAGTTTAAATATTAACACATTGGAAAATTTTAAGTGCACAAATGGTTGTTGGAAACTCGAGAAAGCTGTTCTGTATGTCCAGCTTCTTCAGATTATTTTTTTTCCCCACTGTGTCCAAGCGTAACTGGCTCAAGCGCAAACGGCATCTACGGAATAACGAATGCTTCAGGTGTCTGAAATACAAAACAAAGATATCTAGATGTTAGTGACACGGGAATTACAGTAAATGACAAATTCCCCTTAAAGGGGGAATTAAGGGTTTTTTGGAAAAGTGTGTATAATAGTAAAGGTGAAGCCAGAAAATGGTGGCCACCCACTTCTCTCAGGTTTTTGAGGAGATTGTGGCAGCAGACTGAAAAGACTTATTTTTCAAGTTACATTCAGATGACCAGGTGCTTTTAGCACGGACAATATGTATAAATGAGTAAACAACAAAGGTAGTGTTTCAAAGCAATTCAGAACTTCCACGTTTAACGAATCTGGAGCGAAAAGACACAGGTCCCGGATACCACATTTGGCCACGTTATTAGGAAATTGCATGTATGAGGAGCATGAAGGCAGGATCACACAGCTGCTGGTTTTGTACAGATGTAAAGTTGCTTTCAACATCCTTTACTGTTTCTCCTTTATTGAGGCACTGCAAGTTTATTAAAATGATTTCAGCAGTAGATACCAATCATGTTTTTGTATGTGAACAAATACTCTGGCTGTGCACAGTGATATGGGATATATGATATATAGCTGTAGGAGCTAGTACCAGCCACGAGGCAGAACTGTGTTTCCTGCTCTCACGATGATCTCAGACAAGTTACACGCAAATTGTTTTCTCATTTAAGACCTAGCTTTCTAACTAGGGATTCCACAACTCTAGTCAAATTAAGCCACAAAACCCTTTGGGTTGACAGTTCATGGAGAGGAGAAGGAATACTAGAGGAGAAACTCCAACACAAACGCTGTGAAGAGCCTCCTCCTGCAGACGGTGCCAGCTAAGTGGTAAGACATCGCACAAAACCACTGACGTTTCCATAAAACTTAGCCACATATGTGTCCGAAGGAAGGGGAAAGGAGACAAAGTCCACGGACAGGTGGGAGAAATTGGCAGGAGGATGCACTTCATGTGTTTAAAGAGCTACTGTGCAGTAATGTTCAGAAGCCAGGCTGGCATGTTAGTGCTGCCCAGAGCTGAACTGGCTTCTAACGCACAAACCAGATGTGCTGCAAGCTCTGTAACAGCTGCAGCGCTCTCCAAAGCACTTCAGAATTGAGTTCTGCTGTACAGAAACACAGCAGTGGCATTTGGGAACCACTGCAGAAACTGCATCTCCAAAAAGCCAGCGAGAGATTGAAAAAGGAGCAGAGCTGGCACCAGTACCGGGGACAATCAGTAAGGTACCTCATTAGGGAACGTGGTACTAGCAGAGAAATAGCCGATTAATAGCTCACCTGTCCAGTATCCTGGTAAGGCAAGGTGTGGGATACCTGGCTTCTGGATATTAGCTGACTTCTCAATATACCATTACATTAAGGCACTAACTGGCTTGGGATTGATTGTCAGCTCATCTCCCTCTCTACTCAGCATACACCACGGTAATAAGCAAAAACCGCTTCTCCTCTCTTCCCTCTTCAGTTTTTCTTTCACTGTATCAAAAAGAGGCACGGCTGGGATTCTGGTATGCCACCTTGTCCATTATTTGAATGTCTTGATGCCTATTCCAGATTCTTCTCTCTGCCTCTGTTCCTGGCTATTGTGCATGTTTTTTCCTGTGAAGACAGCTAAAATTCCAATAGTCCTTCATTCAGTTCTCTTGGCTTTGCCAGTGCAATTTTGTGGTTAGTGTTTCAGTACTGTTTTAACATGTACTGCTGAGATGGACATTCTACCTATAATTCTGATCAGATAACTTATGTGCTCTTCGCTGTTAAAATTAATTTTTTATTAGTTTATTTGTAGAGACTATGGCCAGAAAATACAATAAAACTATCTTGTTTCATTGCCACAATTTCACAGGTTTTCGTTAAAGCAGATGGTTCCACCCACACCCTGAAATAAATGAATTTAATTCTTCATCTTCCTAGTAATTTGTTGCACTGATTTCCCCCCATGCTTTTTTGAGTCCTGATAGATTTTTGACTGGTTTCTATTCTTGTTACAGATTTCTGTTGTGCCATTCATCTTCAGATTAGGGATTTAAATGCCTTGTATCTCCTTTTTCATGGAGAACGGGTTTCATCTAGAAGTTAATTCAAACAGATAATGTTACATGTATGAGCTGGCCGCGTAATGCCCAGTGTACTGTGGCTTGCCAGGAAAGTCAAGTAATTCCTTCTTAGGCAAGCCTTCTGAATGTGGTTTGAGATTTAGAAGATAAAGAGCCAGAGCAATGTTGGCACACTCAGACTAAGCAGTGCTATTTTAAAGGCAGATGTTGGACTATAGTGCTTGTTGGTCTACCAGCCTACAATTTAGGTTTATCTCCTCCCAAATTATTCATTATAGATAGCTATGACGCTAGGGAGATACCCATTTTGATTCTCACAACTCCTGTATTTATCCTTCTATATAAGTAAATAACAAACTTTAAAAGGCAGGGAGAGCAAACAATATTGTTCTAAATGACCGTGTGTATCAAGCGAAGTGACAGCGCACATCTTTGCAGGCTGAGTCTCCCAAAAAAACAAAAGCCCTGCAGCTTGGGAGGACAGAAAAGCCACACTATCTGCACATGAACTGAAGGGCTCCAATGATGTCTGGTATTATATGTTGGACTTAATAGCCCTAGTTGAATAAAGATTAAGTCTTCAGTGTTCATAACAGACTGAATGCAGTATATTGCAAAAAAATCCTTCCTTAAAAAAGGAACAGGCATTTGGAGGAAGCAAACCAATATTATTTCCCTTCTTGGCTAAGTCAGCAGTGAGGAAAAGGAGTGGCTAAGCCAGAAGGACAATCTTTACACTTCCCATGTGTGACACATGCATGGGGCCCCTTAGAGTAAGATGCTGCCATCAACTTTTGAACTCTACATTGACAAATATGCTGTAATAACTTAGCAGTTCCTCATAGCTTTTGCTTTTGCAGTAGTATGAAGTAAACTCCTTTATCTGCATAGGCTAGAACTGTATGGATAAGCTCATGGCAATGTTTAAAGCTATGCCCTACTGTGCACCACATTCGTGTATGCTATGCGCTATACCTTACGGTGCAGAGACCACACTCACCTTGTGCTTACTGTCTTGACGCTGACTCAGCAACTGGCTTCTGCACTCCAAAGGCAGTGATAAAAATATTCACAACTACTATAATGAATACTAGTCCAGTTGCAAGGTTGTTGAGGAAATCCAGCTTTCCATGTTTTGCGGGGTTGTTAAGGTCGTATTTTACTTCAAAGAGAAAGGAGAAAAAAAAAAAGTTTTAATTATATGTATATTTCAAAATCCAGAATAAAAGTCTTCACTACTCATGTGGTTCAAGGATTTCTCTTACACTGAGCTATTTGCATCAGTCATACTTAAAAGGGAAGTAAGATTCTGCAGTGTCAGTAAAAGTGCTAAGGGGAAGATCTTTAACCACAAGGAGTCTATTAGATTCCAGTAATTAGCAACTAATCTCTGTGGCTGCACATGGGATGTAATGGATACACAAATACTACTAGAAATCCTCTGAGTTCTTGATCTTTTGAAATCTAGTTTTGTTGCAGACTTTAAGCGTTTAAAAATTATTTCAGTCTTGAACACATGAAGCTTGAAGCCCTGACAGGATGGAATGCAGTTAAATTTCCTATGGCTAAACGGCTGCAGGTTCTTCGCAGACAGCCCAATCTCTTTACCAGTACTGGGGCTTTTTTGTACTGGTGCCCTTCCCCAGCTCTACTCCCTGCTTTTGCACTGATCATGTTTTTAGAAAGTGAGGGCATTTTATCTGTTAAACAGAGGAAGATCTCAAAGCTGCAGTCCTTTTTACAGAGCATCAGCTGTGTAAACATTTTCTTTTGTTTCTTGCAGTTGTTCTTTGGTTGAACTGGTAATGGGAGTGAGGGAGGAACATGCAAAAGAGATAGTACTGATTTAGTGTACACTTTGATTCCAGGCCTTGGGAAAACATAAATGAGTCACAGTGGCCTGATAACAGACCTGATGATAGAGTAAAGCACGTGCTTGCACATCAAGAAGCCTGGGGGTGCTTGCCTGGTATCATGCAGAAAACCAAGATTTTCCTGTCTCTGTTCTCTTGCAGTAAGGGCTCTGCAACTCAGACCTTCAGCTCGATTTCTTTGATGCTGGTGGAATGAGTGCTGACGAATTCTGGAGCATGTTTTGAGAATTGTTTTTGTCTTTAAAGACTCCTAGTTCTTAAATGCATAGATCACTGGAGCTTGTGTGTGCATGTACGGGACACGTGACAGAAAGTTTATACCTGACAAGTTTTCACAGCAACATAAATAAAACTTTGAGCTCCTTCTGATAGGCACATCCACAGATGTGTAGCTTACGACTCTACTGCACGAGATAAACTTTGTTATTTGTTTTTAACATAATGACCCTGTCAACACTGCAGAACTTAACCACAGAACCAAGACTTCCTTGCTTGCTGAAGCAGTTAAGTAGAAGTGGTGGCAAACGCACTCGTGAAGTATTAAAAGCCAGGTTCACTTGGTGTCCCTAATTAGGAAGTCTAATGCTGTTTTGGTTTCAAGGAATTCTGGGTGCCTGTTCGAGTCCTGTTTGCTAAAGCAATACAGTCACGCTTCACAGGCCAGTCACAGCACTGAAGAACAGCGTGGGGGGAACTATCTCAAAAGCTTAAACTACCGCACACCTGTGTAGGCATGAAATAATTTAAGCTCAGCAGTACTTAACCCTGAAAATGAGTTTACACATGTCTGTAAAACATCTGGAACTACGGGGATGCTTGCATCCCAACGGGACCTGGAAGGACTCTAGTACTGCCATGTGAATGAAGCAGAATAATGAAATGGAATAATTAATCCTGAAGTATGGAGGAAAAGCATTTATGACAGTTGGTTTGAAAAAGAAAAAGCAATAATGGCCTGATGTGTTTTGTGAGTTAAAAGAAATCGGGCTCAAAGGAGAACTGACACTTTCAGAGCTGCCCCTTTGTCCAAATAAGGGTCACAGCAGACAAGTATTGCTTGTCAGTTTAGGCGGTGCTCTAAATTTTGAAGTAGAATTGCAGCAATCCTATCTTTGTGATTATAGTACTGAAGATGATGGGTGTTTGTGAAAATGTTCTTAAGAACAGTTATTCTTTAAGTATTTTATTACAGTGGGATTAGATTACTATGATTTCATGCCACTTAAACTATTTCAAGACATTCTTTCCCTTTCTTCAAAAAAGTTAAGACTACCAAATCACTTTCAAGAAGTTTGCTGAACATTTTTCAAAATGTTTTTGTGAAAGGCTCTTTTGAAGGAGGAAAAGCTTTTAATCCCTAGTAGAGAACTGTGAGAACTGGTGGCTCCAGGGATAAACCTCTGTCTCAAGGAAAGAAACTTGATGGTTGTAGACTTTTGTTTGGACTTGTGAGAACTTGTAAGAGGCACAATTTTGAGGCTGGACAGAAAGGAAAACTGTTCCTGCAGGCCAAAACTACTAAATACACATTGTAAAAAGGAAGTTCTTCCTATGATGCCTGTATCTTTGTACCTTCATATCCTACTTCCTATCTTTAATACTTTCGAGCTCAGCACAACAGCATCTCTCCAAGAGCATACCACCATATGCCAAGTGCTTTGTCACCCTCGGTATGTCAAACCTACAGCCACTGCTGACTGCAGAGCGCAGGCTGAACTCCTGAAGCATCTCACTGCTTTCTATGTGGTCTGTGAACTCCACCTCAGCCCAAATTTGGAGTTGGGCTGCTGGGTACTCCCTTGACTTTCAACACGACAACAATAAAAGTTACAGAGCTGGAAGCTGCTTTGGCAATGTTTGGCAGAAACAAACATTAAAAAGCAATTTGTCAGCATATACTGAAAAATTATTGCCCAATAAAAACCAGGGAACTTGTTTACAGCGTCAAAGCCTGCTTAACTGAAACAACCACCAGGGAGATGCCTTCAACCAAGAAACAGGTAACTGTTTGGCTAATTTTTCCATGACTCTCTTCCCGCATCCTCCAGTATCATCAGGTTGCTTTTTCCGGTCCCTTTCTGGAATCTCCTCTGAGCCAGGACCTGGATTTTGCTCTTGTACCAACTCTACCAAATGCACACAGCTGTATTCTGTCTCTTTTGTAAGAAAATAGCTATGTCAGCTGCATATCAATATTACAAGCCTTATGCATCCTGGTTTCCTAGGAACTTCCTCCTTGAACAGAAAGTTGTTTTTTTCAGTTGTGCTAAAAATGGAACTTTGAAAGACTAACAGAGATGCCAAAGGTGGCACCTATAACTTAGTAAATGCCATGTGTGAACTCTGGCTATCACCTTCAAGGCTCTTCATTCACGGGAGACTTAAGATCTATCATATAGTACCCATTAATTTAAAGGGAAAGATTTGAAAAAAGTTATGAGAATAAATGATCATATATCACTAGCAAAAGAAGTGATCCACAGCTGTTTCCTACCAGTGAAGGCATCATTTATTTCACTGAATAATGGGGTTCAACTGATGCTGAAACCTAAACATTTCCTCTGATTTCCACAGGTATCTTCGATCGACTCTCCAAATTTATGGTTCAGGGTTTGGATGCTCCTAATGAATGCTGCAGGTTTGCAGCAACTTTGCAAAGTGCCACTGGATTCTTTTTGCATTTTGTCTTGCAAAAGCATGGGGGAAAATATCACAGTAGGTTAAGATAGCAAAGAGAAGTACTGAAGACTTGTTTAAGGTCAAAACAGAAAACAGTTTTCCAGAAGAGTGCTGTCTCTCCACTCTCTGTGGAGCTTTAGTTGGGCTTTTTTTTGTAATTCATGCTCTCTTAGTGATGAAAGTGTTTTAGAAATGAGCCTGGTTCAATAGCTACTTAGATCAAAATTCTGCCTTACAGAATAAGGCAGAAGGTGTAGGACATATATATGCTACTAATCTAGCAATACTAACTTAAAATACCTAATTTTTAGTGATAAGTACTAGTTCTTGTGCCTCACAGCATTATACCTATTAGTACTGCATAGTAGAACCACTGTTTTCAGGAACAGCAAAGATGCTGCATTGAACTTCTAGGAATGTGAAGGTCAGTCATTCAACAATGAAGACATAAAGGGGAGAGGAGGGGAAGGCAGGGAGCAGGAAACTAATTCTACAGCTGTCTCATTAAATGTGTCCAAAGCACGCACTAACACACCTCCTATTTGAACTCATTATCTCAAAATGATTTCTAGCATACGTCAAATGTATTGCATCACATCCCTTTGGCAGAAAGTAGAAAAGGTTTCCCTACTGATAAGCAGAATTCAAGATAATCTATTTATAGTCCCAGGATGCTTCTCCAACTGTGTTTTCATACTATACATAATTTCAAATTTTTTGACTGAAGTCATAGTACATGGATAATAGATGAGGTACGTTCTTATGGTGAAATCTTGTTCCAACTAGCCTATTTTTCTTTTTAGGTTCAATTTCAGTTTAACACAGGTTTGAAAATTAACAATAACAAGTACATTTCTACCAGTCCCCACCTAGAGATTTAGGATGCTTGAGTAATTTCCTAAATTTAAAACTAAGGGTTTCTTTTCATTATTGTCCAGCCTTTGCTATCAGATCTGAGTGCAGAAACACAAACAAACTGAAGGCAATGTGCCATACCAAATGAATATGGACATTTCAATTTTCACTTCTATTTCAGAGTTCTATGTTCACAATATATTCTTCCAGTATTGCTTATATGACTGATACAGAACAAACACATTTCAGTCACAAGATTAAGTAACAGGTCTTGCCAGAAACAGTATTATGAAACCAGGCAGGCTGCATGATCCTATCTGGCCTATTAATTTTTCTTTTACAGTATTTCATCATTTTCCTTCCTCCTCAGGCCTTCTGAAAAGAAAAATATTCGTGGTCTGGGTACATAACTATGAGGAAGTTGATCAAAATTGAAGATTCCACATAAAACTGTCCTTACTCCTTTTGTTGCAGTATTTCTATGGTCTTAAGAGACAACTTTAATCAATTCTGAGGTACAGTCTTTCAAATTTAACAGCTTTTTAAAAACTAATGGGGAGTCTACATACCATCTTATAGACTACAGCCTGTAAGAAAAACACACGTCAATGGTTCCTGCCGTTGCTACATACCAAGGAATATCAGGAGCACTCCCACCATAACTTGCAGTGTGAGTGACAGGCTGATAAGAATGATAAGTGGGATGTAGAAGGAAAAAGAAGGTCCTTGCTCCATCACGGCTTTCAGCTGGGATGCATTGGCCATCAGCAGGGCAATGTCCAACATGCTCTCCGCGGCGCTCTTCTTATTTGCGTAGTGGTTGATATTCATCGGTCCATTTCTTTGAAACCACTGTGATGTTCTGCGCTAAAATTGGGAGAGGGAGAAAAAGGTTATTCTCATCTCTTTTAATTGGTGTAGTGAATGAAGAGATGACTTGGTCTGTCGACTGATTTCTGTAATCACACTGATAGAGTAATAGCGGTACTGAGACTACCAGTGCATCTTTTTCACGGTTACCACTGTCCTCCATCTGATAAGAGAGCAGTAAATAGTGTCTGTACCGGACTTCAGCAGACACGCTTTTTCCAGCTTGTAGGATCAGTCTGAACAGTCTGTATGTTTCGACTCTGGGAAAAGGAAAGATTGAAAAAGCTGAAAATTTTGCCCTAAGGAAACTTGAGTGGGAAAACCACTGTAAAACAATCAAGCAAATAACAAATCGTTGCAGCTAATTTACTCCTAAAGGCATACTTAAAAATATTTATTAAATTCAGTCTCTGTCACTACTCATCTACATAGTTCCTTAATTACTCATGAGTGTCATTTTGAGGATTTATGTGGAAGCTGGCCACTGTACGAGCTTTGCTTGACCTCTTTAGCCCCTGCTGCTTACTCCGCCATACCACTGTCCAGGTCCATCCAGACACAGTGAACTGGGTTTCTGTTTAAATATCAGATGTGGTTGCCAATCACTGCCCAATTACAAGGGAAATATTTCTTTCCATTTTCACATCATCACTTGTGTGGTTTGTTGTTTGTTTTTTTTTAAATACCCCTACAAACAAACAGGAAAAATAAAAAACAAATGCAGGGCAAAACCACAGCTAGTTAACACAGTGGGATGAATAAAATGAGCATTTCCTGATGACAATTCATATGACCCAACTTGGAATTTGACAGCTCGTCTCCCAGGGGTGCCTAGTTCTCTACAGATTAGATGCAGCTTAGGGTAACTTAGGCTTAGATGGCTAACTCTGCGATGAAGAAAGAGTGGGCAACCCTCTTTTCTGCAGTCTCTGAACAGGTTAGGAACTTCAGTCTCACTGCTCTTACTTCTAGACTTTATTTTCAAAAATAATACACAAACAGATTAAGAGTAAGCTTATTCTAGCTGACTTTTAAAAACCTGTTTCTTAGAGACCTTTTTACTGCGCAAATGTGTTCCCACTTGCCAGAAAATACTGAGAGGAAAGTCTCTCTTTGAACGTTAGTTCAAATGCAGAAAACGCCCTCTAATTACTCTCTTCAGCAGCACTAATAACTATCAAATTTCCAACTCCAAAGCCAGGTTCGCCACCGTCCAGACTTAAAAGTGTCCTTTTAAATAGGACAGATATTGATGCATATAGCAAACACATTGCCGTTTTTTCCAGGGCATTCCAAAATTGACCTATTTTCACCAGACACCTTGTAATCAACCACAGTCTAATATTTTACGTAGAGAAAAATGTCATCGGGCAGCAGCAGACTTTTTTTTTCTGCAAAGAGAAGGAAGCTGTGTAATCGTGGCTTCACGCAAACGGCTCCTTTCTGAGACTGAGTTCCTGGGAAGAAAATGGCTCTGCAATGGATACTGACTTCAGTCAGGAAGAACTCCATACTCATTTGGTTTTCTCTATATCCCACAATCTAAAAATGCAGTTTGGCTGAGGAATCTGTCACACATTTGTCACCTTTTCTCTCCCCAAGGAGAGCCTTCTCTTCCCACCCTCCTGCCCCATTAAACCACTATAGCATTTGCAATGCTTCGGAAAAAATACTGTAATTCTAACATACCATCCACCAGTAGCACTAAACAGGTGTGAATGTTCATTTTTTTATGGAAAGCAGCATGGAATGTATGCTAGCAGTACTTAGTAGAAAAATCCAGACTAACATTTTTCACTGTTTCTCGTACAGTAAAAAGGCAAACACACACATTTAGCTCTTGGTTACCTAAGGCCAGCAGTGTAAGAGGGATCGGCGAACTACATCTGTAATAGTAGAATTCAATTTCTGGGCATGAATTTAAAATAAACTCTTCTCAGTAAACTGTAGAAGTAATATGATCCATTTTGTCACAAGTTCATAACACAGGAAGTTTTTTCCTATGTCTAATTAACTCCTTTCTGCCAACTTTGAAATATCTATTGGGTCTATGAGGTTGCAGTATGTAATGCAGGCAAAAACTACATGGGTAGCTGTGATTCAGTTCTTCATCCTGATGGAAGGGGACTGCTGTGAAAACATGATGACCGGTTCCTTTGTTTTCACTCGACTTAGGAATGTGATCACATTGGACATGGCTTTTTTTTTTTTTTTTAAACTATACAAAAGAGTAAAAGAGTAAATAGTCTAGGCTCCATCTTCCTTTCAGTGACATCTTTGACTACATGATGTAAGACAGTCTACGTAAACAACAGAATACGATCCTGTCTTTTTCCTGGGGAAACGTACTGCTGTCCTTTAAGGAATTTGCTCTTTGCTAATTTTCTGTATGGCCAAGTTGCAGGTGGAAGTAGCAGGCTATGGTGTTTGAACTGCGGTGGAAGCCAAGGGTTTGAGTCAATTCTGAACTCCAATAAATGGAGAAGATTTTTCAAAGTAGGGTGCTGCTAAGGCAAACAAAGCCAAACCTTCTTATTCCTGGAATGACAACAAATGCCAAAAAGTGGCATTTTACTCTGTTAAGAGGCTTTCAGCTACCACTCCCAAAAGTAGCCCAGTTCAGAATCGGAACTAGGCATACAGAGAACTGAAACATCAGTTCTACCGTACAGAGCTTTTCCTCAGCCTGTGATCTTGCCTTCTGCCAGGAAAAAGGATCTGTAATCATGAAAGCCCCAGAAACAATCGTTTCCCATCTCCTGATTGAGAAATAGAGCCTCCTGACTCATGCTGGAAGACTACAAAATAAAACAAAAAAAAAAAAGGCAAATTAGCCTTGCCTCCTGGAAGCAAGTTGAAGGCAACTGCCCAAAGTATTGGAACAAATGTAGTCAGTACCACAGCAGCAGTTTTCAAAACCAGACTACGTGTTACACAGCAATATATAGACAGGCAATGAAAGGAGAGCTGTTGCCTTAACCTCAGGATAATGACAGTCATGTACAACAGAAATTATATGAGAACTTTTGTTATGTGGCTTTATGGTTTCAGGGAGATTGCAATCATGCAGCAACGCATGCAGCCGGCAGCACTTACTGTGCTGTTATCACCTGCGGGGCTGCAGAAAGGGAAAGTGAAACTTGTGGAGGTTTTCTAGGACGTGTGTAAAGTAAGGCTTTTCCTGCACTTTTCCTCTTGCACTTGGCAAGAGAACAGGATGTATTCCATGCGGCCTGCTTCAGTCTCAATATACTCAAAACACCTCGTTAGGCATTTTCAATATTCAAATTACCTGCTACGGACAAGCTGATCCCTTCAGTTGCCGTCACCGAACGAGTCTGAGGAAAAACGGCCTGTGTGTTCACACGTGTGTGCAGAAGAGCCAGCTGTAGCTGGAACTGCTGTATTTTCCTTCCCCTGACAGCCTGCTCTCAGGTCTCCCGCTGCCCACAAAGCATCACCCTCAGAGCAGAACAACCTGCTGTGCTAGTCTACGTGGTTATAAAAAGGAGAGGAGTGAAAAGCCACCTCCTCTTGCTCCGTCTGCAACTGGAAGAATCCCCCGCAGAAGAGTTTACTTTCACAGCCACACGAGGCTGTCCCCACAGACAGTAGTGCTCCGGGTCTCTGCACGGCAGCAGGGTCTGTTTGCTTGCCCAGAGCGCTGCAGTTTGTGAGGATACAGCTAAGATGCTACACCAAAAGCCGGCACTTTTTTGCTTCTATAAGACCAGAGCTTCATGCTAGGATTGAATGGTGTTGGACACAGAGTGTTATTGACGATTGTGTTGGTACAGACTTTGCCACTGCTTTGCTTCACCCATCATTTTAACAGTACGCCCCAAAGAACTGAGTCCCTTTGAAATACAGAAAGGATTTATTCATTACATTTATTAAAAAATAAATAAAAGTGGCACTGAGGCGAATGTCCTAAGATGCTGAGTTTCATGAATCACGTGTAAGACCCACCTGATGATTCAACAGGAATAAAACAGCACTGAAAATGGAAACATTTGAAAACAAATAATGAAGTACCTTTGCTAAATACAGTAACTTGTTATAGTAAGGATTTCTGCTTTTATTACAGCATTAAATCACTGCTTGTGACAAAATTTATGCAGCTGTTTGCTCAACAGAATATTTATCAAACACTAGTGACTGCTGCAGTAACGTGCTGGAAGTCTGGCCAAAAAAAAGAGGAAAGCCCAAGAGTAAATTTTTTTGTTTTTTGTCCAACTTGACCTCACTGAGTTTCCCAAAATGGTACCAGTTAGTCTGGCCAGAGAAGACAGGTGGGGTTTTTGACATGCCAGTCATCTGTAATCTACAGAGAAAAAAAAAACACTAGCAAAAATGTCACCTATTTTACATTTGTATTTAGAATGTAGTTATGTTCGTTTCTGTCATTCTGCCCTATGAATGCAGGAGGAAAAAAATAATCTGGATTTTGAGCGCAAGTTTTTAGGATCCATTCCTTCACTTTTGGTATGTTCCTAGGTACTTTACTTGGGCTTTTAAATGTCTTCCACCATATATATGTTCCCCTAAAGAGATTGTTCTAAGAAAACCTTACAAAAAAGTCAAAACAAAAGCCCCACAAAAACGGTAAAACACAAATATTGTCTGAACCAATAGGACCTTGAAATCTCCAAGTTAAGAGTCAGATCTGTTACGAACAGTGAATTTACTGTTCTTGTAATAAAGTTAACAGATACTTGCTGTAGCACAAGACTGGTTACTGTTTTCTTCTTAAATCCCACCAGACAACCAGTATTTTGCAGTTAGCAAGGTGAACTTCCAATTTCCCAAATGAATACTCAGAACCAGAAACTGCAAAGTGTACAGCCTGAGTTGCTTTAATTTTGGTTTGCAATTTGTCATTGTAGCTACTTAGCATCAGCTGGGACTGCAGGACCCAGAGTTCAATGTGTTTTGCATTTCAGGCCCCGAGTGTCGTATCTGGGTTCTGAAAACACACAAATACTTATTTTAGTATTGGTACAATATTAGCACTAAATACTTCCATGGTATTCTAACTTTAAATCATTATGTGGGGAAAATGCCTTTATACAGGAGACCCACAGTTTTGTGGGGGATAATAGGGAAAATAATGCTGATTATTATTTACATATTCCAAACAAGTTGAGCTTCTGATTAGTAATACCTTCCTCAAGCTGTCAGAAGTTTCTTCGCCTTCAAGTACATTGACTCTGAAATACAGTCTTCATAATCTTTGCTTTGCTCTAACTCTGCATACAGTCTTCTTTCTATTTCAGGTTAGTGATTACTGCAGTTGTATGGCAGCTTTGAGATGCTTTTAACAGCCAAACAGCCTTGATTCAAAATAAGATCGGACAAGCTTGTTGATCAATGTGATCTCTGGGTTTGTAATGTCACGGAGCAAGCTTCCTCAAATTCTTATGTTTAGGGACAGTCTTGATTATAAAATAACGGAAACATGCTACATAATAATGAGGCTGTGTAAATAAAAGGCTGAGTCATACTGATCTTACAGTGGACTGTTCTTTATTGTGTTTTGCAATAGTCCTTCT